TGTGGGGTGATTATCTCCATGGATCACGAGAGACGGATAGAAACATGAGGGGAATGATAGAACGTCCCCCTTCCTTCCACAAAGTTGAAAATCGACTCACCTAGTAGATTTTCTCATACCTGCTCGAACAGCAAAACTCCCGAGAGCAAACAAATACTAATATCGAGTCCATTCCAGACTAATATCGTCCTGTGTTCTTGTTGGTTCATATTCGCACTTAAACCATCGAAAACGACTCGACGACGACATATCCTTCCTGGCAATCTCACATTGAAAATCACGACCATATCACGATTATCACGACACAACATCCAATTATTTTATTTTTTATTTTACGTTTACAATTATTTTACAAACACACAAAAAAACTATTATCATATGATCTGTCAACATCATTTCTCAGAACAATAGTATCTGTGACCATAGATTTCCTCTTTGCTGTGACCTTTGACAGTTCTAACTAGGATTGTTCGCGTTCAGAGAATAAACAATCCAAAACCGTCAGAAGCATGCACAAGTCCACAGAACCCAAAAATCATACAGTTCTGTGAAACTGCGCATGCTTCTGACAGTTTCGGACGCAAGAATTCAGATGACCATGAATTACTGATAGGCGATTTCTACGGACCAATCAGAAACAGCAAAGTAGCGCCTGCGTGGTTGCGATTCATCCTGATTGGACACAGCTGATTGGATTTGTGAGATTAGTGTATAGTGAGGAGTATCATTTCATTGAATTAAACTAATAGATCTTTTTTCCAAATTAGTTTTTTATGAAAATGTTAGTTTCATTTAAAGATATGATCCTTCCTCACTAATACATTAATCTCAATCACCTGTGCCCAATCAGGATGAATCGCAACCACGCAGGCACTACTTTGCTGTTTCTGATTGGTCCGTAAAAGTCGCCTATTAGTAATTCATGGTCATCTGAATTCTTGCAGTTTGTTGTTCTGAGAATGTATGTTATTTTGGAAAACGTCAAAACGTGATACTAGTAAATGTAAACAGTGTGGTCCTTGTCATTACTTTTGTAATAGATCTATTACTATTGGGTGTTAGCACCAAAATATGATGTTTTGTTACTGTTAGCACCAAAATATGATGTTTTGTTACTAAAAAATCTATTTCTGTCTAATTTGTGCGATATGGTTTAACAAGAATGACATTCAGAATGTCAAATGTCAGATTTTTAGGATCTATTACCTTTTGATACAAATCTGTTATCATTTTCCAAGAAAATCTATTACGAAAAAATCAGACCCAGGAACAACACTGAATGTAAAGTTTTGTTTCTGACAATTTGCTTGGAATGTGACGATGCATTTCTCAAACATTGAGCTGAATGATATGGTTCTTATGTCGGGTCGTTATTGTGCGGGGCCCATGAGACTCCTCGAAGACCACGAAATTGTAGCGATGCTAGGAGGTGGAAGGAAGGGTCTAAAGGATTTTTCAGTAAAATAACTTCCAACCGTGAGGTGTCAAGTTATACGCTATTCAAGCTTATGTGTAGAAATCTTGGGTGAGTCCATTTTGAAGTTTTTGCATTATCTTTCTGAAATTCAAGACCAGGGTTAACTTCTTCCCCATGTACATTTTCTCGATTATACATTTTATTTAATATCTCCTAATTTTCATGTAGAGTGGCAACGTCGCTTCGTTCATCACGGTCGACTGCGGATCGCAAACGATAGTTGTGACAGAAGTAGAAATCTGGGCGGAAAAAGGGTATTTTGCCCCAAATCTATTTTGATCCTAATTATATTTTTAATAGTGCTATTCGGTAGTATACCTCAAGCTTTCTTAGTGTTTAAAATATATGCACTTATTTTAAAATCAGCCTGTATAAGAAAAATTGAAAATGGAAAAGACAACAGTTGTAAATTCAAACTGAATTGATTAGCAAATTTCAGTTAGATCAAAGAGCAACAGTGATTTTTATGAGTATACAATGATAATTGATCAGTAATTGATAATAGAAGTGAAAAACAAAATTTTATCAAATCAAAATTCTGAAAAACAAAATGGAGAACCATAGATAAGAAGGTTGTACTCACGTGGAAATTACTTCAATGCATCGTGAAGGCGAAAAAATTATTACTTAATCATCATTTATTAATTGTATTAATTAGAATTGGAGTGATGTAAGAGGAATTGGGAGGAAGGCAAAAAGCTATTCAACAGAAAACAACTACTTTCGAATTATAACTGAAAGATAGCATGAAAAATGAAAATCCGCTGAAATTGAGAATTGACATTTTCTCGCACGTTGTGTGTGGAAAAAATACCATTCCAATCATTATAAACCGTCTATCACGATATATTAACATACCCAGATGAGACTGCGCGATCTCAAAAATCTATTTGATATATTCCACCGTATGAGAACTAGCATCTGCAATAAGAAGGGTGGTGTTTTCGTTCTGAAATTATATCAAAATGATCAGAATGGAAAAGAACAAGGGCACACTCCAGGTATTTCACGTACGTGTTTGTTGTGAAAATATTGCGAACCGTATGGAAAACGAAAATCCGGAAAGCGCGAGTGGTGCTGTATTTTTAAGCCATTGGCCAGGGCACAAGCGTAGGTTCATAATTTTGGCATCGAGGAAGACGTTGGAAATGATAAAAACTGTTGTTTTCTGTGACGAGAAAAACGTTTGATATTGCATCTCTGTAGTCAGGTTACAAAATGTCACTTTTCATAAATTACTTCTTTCCCACGAGAAAATAGTGAGTACTTTGTTTCCGGATATATAGGTGCACTGTTCATAGCTTTTGTTGGGCCAGTTCCGAAATATGAGCCAATAACACCGTCTCCAAGAAAGAACTGAAAGTCCATTTTATCATCCACTCCAGTTAGTCCAGTTAGCGGTTACGTAAATCACTAAACATCCTGAGTTCGCAATTTTTTTGAATCGAAATATAGAATAAAATTAACACATATTCGATTACGTCAAAAGTTTTTCATAGCAACAATGAAGATGCCTGCAATCACAGGTGTTACTACCAGTTGAAAACCTCAAATTCCACATCGATAATCCTCTGATTTTATTATAGTGTAATATCTTCTCAATATTGAATTGTCGTTTTTCCTGTCACATAAAAAAATAGTGTATTATTTATACACTGAAAAATATTAGATTTTACCTCTTAGTTTTTTGTATCCCTTTGCTAGGCGTCAGGTGACAACACTACCTCGAGCTTAAATGTAATACTTTTTCCCTTGTAATGAATATTTTTCGTCGACCTCGTATTAACGACTAAGTTTAATGTATATGAAATCGTTCATTAATGACCCCTATTAATGAACGATTTGTCTATTAATGCACGATTGTTTTATAGGCAACCAAACATACACCGCGGGCATTCATTGTTTATGCTATAACTTACGGAATCTGCATTTGAATCGAAAATATGGATTTCATCGAAGATTTTCTGTTAACGGGTTCGCCTTTCCAAGTTTCTGACACGATTTTAATCCCTGTTTTCTGACACAAGGAATTTATTTTCTATTTTGATCATTTAGACAAAAGTCAAATGTCACTAATGTCAGTGACAAGGCTACTGGGTGATTCTTAGCAGTTTCCAGATGAATGATGAATTCGCGAACCAAGTTTTCTTCATTGCAGGAGAAAACTATTTTCTACAACTGCTATGATTAGTAGTGTATTTGTCATAGCTAACAATCAAGTTTAAAAACCATGTATTGCTCTCACTGTGAGGAAATTTTTTTCTCACGGCACTTTTGCCAACACCACATACCATAACACATAAATTTTCATGTAGAATCAACAAAAATCGACCAAAACTTAGTTGGCTGCTGCCCAGCTTTGAATAGTTGTCACAACTGTCAGTAAAAGTTCTTCAAATTCTCAGATTATCATTAGTGCTCTGATTGAAATTGCAGTTTCCATTGAATATTATTCCAAAAACATTGTCAAAAGCATTCAAATTTGGTTTTCCAAATCAATAGTAATCACCACAACCATACAACTAGACGAGCAGATCATTTTTCTGTCAAGAAAATTGAATCAGATATTGGTGAAAAATCCATCTATCACAATGGAATGATACAATACAATTCACTACCAAATAACTTGAAGCTGATTAATAGGATTGAAAAATTTAAAAGACAATTCAAGAAACATCTACTCCTGTAATATTGACATCTTATCTCATTTTTATAGTTTTTTTGTACAACTACCATAGTTTTCAATTTGGTACCTAACAGCTGAGTCAATTGAGAATCATTTTCAGTTGAACTTAAAAAAAAAAGATTCTTTTTGAGTGTGAGTCTAATTTTACTGTCTTCTTTATTTTATTTTGTCAAATATATTTATGTATTCACTATGTTCCCTGCTATGAACAAATGTTGTTTCTTGGGAATATTAAAGTTGATTGATTGATTGATTGATAATCAATAATATAAATGTACTGAGAACAGTGACGATAATACACCACCAGAGATAAAGGAAGAAGGTTCAAAAGTTAGATTTGTTGCCAGAGGTTTCAAGAAAAAAATATGAATTGGCATACGAAGAATAAATGGAATGTGGAGGAAATACAAAAATAATGAGTCAATTTTCCTCAAAAGCGTACCTAACACGTTCCTAAAGTGACTTTTCCGCACGCGATTGCAGATGACCGAACGACGCGTAGTATCACTATCCGCACTTGTTAAGTGAACTTCTATTTCTGATTTTGACATGTTATTTGACACTTTTCAAAACTGACGAGAGTTTTCAAATGTCTTACTTCATGTAAGGAGTTGCGTTAAGTGAAATATCACCTAACTGGTGATAAAATATTTATTTCAACATGATTTCAACACCGTTACGTAATAAAAATATGGATGGACGAAAGAAATAGTGCATTTTGTAGCCACCCTGTACTCATATTCTGAGAATCTGCATAAGCATTGAGCTCTAATGAAATTCCGTTAGTTTCAGCCGAAATGAAGGCACTTTACATGGATAATCCTCTTTTTCTTCCAGGTGGGCTTCCTGGACGTGTCGGTGCCCCCGGACTTCGTCCCGGAAGACACCTCCGGGGACGTGATGGTGCCCGAGGGGGGTACGGTGAAACTCACGTGTCGCGCCAGAGGCCAGCCGGAGCCACACGTGCAGTGGCGTAGGGAGGACGGAGAGGACATCGTCGTCAAGGAGCCTGCTGGTCAGAGGATGGGAGGTGAGATGAGGTGCTGAATCGCAAGTTCATGGTTGGAAAGCAACTACCAACTGTACTAAATCTATTACTATCACACCTTGCTCAGTACGCTATTATGACAACACATAAAACCTCCATTATCTAGTACGTTCTTTGATTTCATCCATGATAAGGTATTTCATAATGATGATGTCATCAAGAATATGAGTAGACCAAGGATTGCGCATCTGAAACAGACAGCTGACGTGTCTGAGGTTTTTTCCACAATTCACATATCAAACTTTCGATGAATTTGGTCCAACCTGTACGTGTTATTTCTAAAATTATAGAAAAAGTAATGAATTACCGATTGCAAGAATATCTAGAGGCAAAGAAATATCTTTACAGCCATCAATATGGCTTTCGAGGGTCATGTGATACGGAGTCCGCAGTTATGGATGTTGTAACAGATTTTCAATTGCAACTAGATACGAACAAGATATGTGGACTCCTATCAATTGACTTAAGAAAGGAATTTGATACTGTAAATCATGAAATTTATTGTATTGGTCTAAGAGGTCCTGTCTACGACTGGTTTCAAAATCATTTGAGTGATAGGAAACAATTCGTATATTTAAGAGAATCATTCAGTAAGAGCGATGAAATAGTATGCGGTGTACCGCAAGGATCAGTATTGGGCCCTATTCTATTTCTTATTTATATCAACTCTATTGCAAATGTGAAGTCGAAAGGTGAAATTTATATGTTTGCCGATGACACAACCTTAATCTATCCAGCAGGTTCAGCAAAACAAATTAGGGATGATATTTCAAGTGATTTGAAAATATTATTATCATGGTTATCATGTTATAAATTGAGTATAAATTATAGTAAATCTGCATTCATGATAATTTCAAAAAAATCAAATTTCCAATTGCATGTAATAATGAGGTCATCAAATATTCAAATTATATCAAGTTTCTTGGTCTGTACATAGATGAACATTTGTCATGGTCGAAACATATTGAAATACTTAGGAAAAAAATATCTCCAATAATAGGTATACTTTTTAGGGTACGGAACCAAGTTCCTATAAAATGTCTCAAATGTATATACTTCTCTTTGATTTATTCTAAACTTGAATATTTGATTTATGTATGGGGTTCAACAAAACTATCAATTATAAAGCCTCTCAAAACTTTTCGAAATAAAATTATCAAATGTATATACAGACGAAATTATTCGGAACCTACTATGAACCTTAACAGAAGAAGAGAATTATTAGATATAGATTCACTATATAAATTCAAATTAATGTCGTTCATTCATTCAGTTAAACATTGTCAAAAGCATTCAAATTTGGTTTTCCAAGTCAATAGTAATCACCACAACCATACAACCAGACAAGCAGATCATTTTTCTGTCAAGAAAATTAAATCAGATATTGGTAAAAAATCCATCTATCACAATGGAATGATACAATACAATTCACTACCAAATAACTTGAAGCTGATTAATAGAATTGAAATATTTAAAAGAGAATTCAAGAAACATCTACTCCTGTAATATTGACATCTTATCTCATTTTTATAGGTTTCTTGTACAACTACCATAGTTTTCAATTGGGTACCTAACAGCTGAGTCAATTGAGGATCATTTTCATTTGAACATGAAAAAAAAAAGATTCTTTTTGAGTGTGAGTCTTATTCTACTGTCTTCTTTATTTTATTTTGTCAAATATATTTATGTATTCACTATGTTCCCTGCTATAAACAAATGTTGTTTCTTGGGAATAATAATGTTGATTGATTGATTGATTGATACGAATTCACCTTCCATTTCTGTAAGAGTATTTATTTTGTTTTATTTCACATTTTTATTATTGAGTCAGTTATTCATTATGTTCCATTTTTCGTTATAGTAGTTATTGAGTATTTACATTGTTTCAAAACTACCCAAATAAAGTTTTATTTTCATTGTTTCAATATTTTTCATCACTTGTCGAATCTAGTACGATCTATTACAATTGCGTACTAGATTTTAGTACGAATGATCGCAACTGAAAACTCAACGCTGCAGGAGAATTCAATGAACTCTGATGGTCTTGGCCACAGGTTGTTCTAACTGATTTATGGATTGTGTCGGAATGACTCTTTCAAGTTGTTTTTCTAGATTCATCTATCACTTCGGATTCGGACTGATGCTCTATGGCGTGCCAGAAATAGCAATGAGTGTTTATGGATGGTAGGGTAGCTCAAGTATATCTTTGGGGAATAGCAAGTATTCACAGAGAGGACAACTTGTAACTGGTAAGAATTGACACATTGTGTCAATTTTAACCAGTTACATTCTTATACAAAGTGATTTCAAAAAAATTATGGAGATATGTACAAGATAATGGCTTCGAAGAAAAAATATTGGTAGAGGAGTCCTACCTATGATTTTTGATAAAGTCAGACTGGAAGATATCCATAGTGAATTTCAAAACTACCTTTTTTTATGTTCTGGTTCCCACGAAAAGGGATATCCTGTAATGTTCAGAGAACATCGTGAGAACCAAGGGACATAAGGTAGGAATTCTTCTTAAATTTATGGAGGTTATATGCCTCGGGGAACACCTCCCTTGGCAATGTATTCCAGAGCCTCGCTGTTCGTTGGATGAACGAGTCTTTGGAACGAGATGTTCTGCAGGTCTCCAAAGTGACCACGAAGGGATGCGAAGCCTCAACTCGACGGGTTAATCTCGCTGGGATTGCCAAGGGAGGAACAATTGTTGATATTTCAGAAGAGCATCGTTCATGAAAATATCTATGAAATAGTTCCAGATCGCCAACTTTTCTACGGTATTCCAGAGAAGTGAGTGAGTTTGTGAGCGAGGCATCACCCACGAGACGAATTGCCCTTTTTTTGGCAGAATCCAACAGTTTCAGGCTATATAAACAAAAAACTAAGTTTTGATGCACTATTATCAATTATTGATCTCAAGTGATTTCCCAAGAAACGTTATTGCTGATAGTAATACCAAGCATCGAAATGGATGTCTCCAAAGGTATGGTTACTCCTGACAAGCTTATTTTGGGCACAGTGAGATCGGTTTTTCTGGAGAAAAGACATGCTTGTGTTCTGTTTGCATTGGAATCTACCAAGTTATTGGATCCCCATTCGAGGATTGTTTCCAAGTCCAAATTCATGTTCGCAACATTTCTCCCTCGTTCGTTTCTGAGTTGCCTGGCTGGTATTGGAGCCCTGGAAGAGAAGGCGGTATGGTGGGTATTATCATCCGCGAAGCTGTGTACTGGACATGGAGTTGCTCCCAACAAATCGTTGATATGGAGTAGAAATAGTGTTGGTGCTAGAATTGATCCTTGCTGAACACCACCTAAGAATGGATGGGAGATGTTTCAGATTGACATCAATCCATAATATATGCGCGTGAACGTAAACCTGCAGAAATGAGGAGAGATCATAACAAAGTCTCTAGTCAACCAAGCATAAATTTAGGATTGGAGCAAGACCAAAATATTCCTATAATTATCCGAAATGGTCTTCAGTCCAATTACCAGGACGGGCATTTTCGAAGTATTGATAATATGAATGATAGTATTTCTTGTTAATTCCTAAAAGATATAAAATAATAATGAAGGGAACATGAAAATAAACATCCTAACCTTTTTTTTTGGCATTCGGACATGATCCATACAGTCAGTCACTCATGTCTGTTTTTCATCGATACTAAATCCTACTAGCAAAATTGGAAATTTGAATAGAAGAGGAACACCAGGAAAAACATGGGATCTTATTAGTTTCTTCTCGCCAAGGGTTCCATCATGGCATTTCATTCACACACAACACTAGACCGCTGAAAGAGGGTATGAGGTAGAACACAGAGGATCGAAGCTTAACTACTATTATTCAAATCTTCAATCCCGTTTTCTGTATGAATTTTATGATACTTTGTGTTATTTTCTTATCATTAAGGGCTAAGAGATTAAGCAAGTTGATGGGGGTGGGGGTTTTCATATTCAGAAGATCAGAGTAGAGCTCTTGGCTTTCTTGTCTCGTAATTCTGCAGTTGAAAAATATGTGATCTAGATCACCTTTCACATTGCACACCTCACATAAGTCGGAGTTGGTTATCCCTTTTCTGGCTAAAAAGGTAGGGTAGCATTCATGGCCAAATTGAAGCCTATTGTGAACAGTTACACATCTTTTGGAGAGATCCTAACCTTATTGTTTGATCCAACAGCTGTTGTTTGTCGTGATCTGTAATTTGGAACGTGAGACACAGCCTTTACATACATATACAGGTGGAGCTATATTAATAGCGTGTTAATAAAAGAAGAAAGAATATACCTAACTCTTTCAACGTTGAATTATCTGGTCGATTCTCCCCATTTCCTTTTCCTCGTAAATATATATGTTCGGTAATGACATCACTCATCTCCTATAAACACTCATCGCTATTTTTGGGGCGTCAAGTTCTCGAACCCTATCCGAAAGCAACTCGAATGGGTAGTCCATAAATCTGTTAGAACAACCTGTAGGCAATAACATCGGAGTTTATTAAATTGTCCCGGAATTGTGGAGTGGGAACTCCGGAGACAAACCTTCCAGAAATGTTTCAGTGAATCGTTCCAGAGGTAATAGTGATAGCGGGTTCGCTTTGGCAGTGGGACGCGTTTGTTCGCATACATGAACCAATCGACGTGTTATTGCCGGTGGCTATAGGGCCTTAGGGACCTCAGAAAGATCGTTTTCCTATCTTGGTATACGCGGTTGGTGCGGAATGTCAGTAAATTATTATACTTTGCATGGGTTCTGAATTTCATATATACATGTTTGGTATCTCATTAAGTGCTCGGAAGGAAATAATTATGCAGAGGCAATCGTATGATATAGAGAGAAAATTGATATGAGCTCTCATTTCAAACGACCCTACCTCTTTAACTCAGCTATTAGTCGTGCGATCTGTACCAAATTTGGACCGGTATGAATAACCTTCAATATGATCAGTGTCTTTGAGACGAACATCATTTCAGACA